TAATGAAAACAAAATTAAAACAGAAAAAAATAAATAACATGGATTAATATCATCTACACTGTCTTGTGATTAAATTAGATATTTGATCTTCATTGAAAAATCAACTTTTGATAAATCCCTATGATTCTAAATCTTTAACTTCTTAAAATTTTAAAATTTAATAAATTTAATAATCAATTCTCACTTCAGGCATTTAACATCTGAACATATTAACTACTTATAATTGGAAATTGTTTTTAAAAAATATTTATTACAAGGATTATAATGTTAATATACATATTACTTTTCTATTTCATTAAAATCTTGATACATTTTATTAAACAAATCTCTAAAGATGAAATAAATATTACTAATTGTTAAAATTATTAAAATAAATGCATCATATCTAGAGATACTTTTATACATTATAAATAACGGCAATTATTTCGGCATTGCAATATATTGCTTTGATTATTTGAAAACTTTTTTTTTGATTAATAAAAATTATACATTATTGTATTATTAAGTTATATATAGATTTCAGGCTTGGACTATTAACAGTGATTTTTTTCTTAATTAACATAAAATAGCAAAAGGCATGAAAAGTTGTAGACATCATTCTTGCAAAATCAATCTTGCAATTTTTTAAAAATCTCTATAAAAATTGCTCTCAAAAAATCTATTTATCGCAATACACTAATTACTTTTACCTCTAAATTTTTATTTACTTATAACAAATCCCTATATTAACTAATTAATAATAATTAACCCATCAAAACACGAATAATCAGGCAATCCAACGATTTCCTGATTTAAAGAAACCATTCCTCATCCTAATCCTGACCGAGCAAAATTATTTATCGAACCGCGACGTTGAATTTCCAATGATAGTTTTAATAACGTGGTATCCACTCCCCAATAGAGGAGTGCAAAAAGACACACGCCGTTTGCCAATCGATAAATGCTATCGCGGGGGCTCGGCATGATTGAATGCTTTATGCAGCTGCGATTTCCTGCGGCGAGCCGAGCGGAGCCGATGAATTCGATAAAGCTCGATCGAGCTTGAGCACCGCGACAAAACGTCCCTTAATTGCCGGATTGATTCGTAGGTGGTGGCGGAGACGCGCGATTACCCGAGCGTGAGTCGGCGATAAAGTTACCCGAGGGAGAGAAACCGTAATATCCGTTTACTGATAGACTTTCTATGTAATTTCACTTCGCTTTCCCTTGGTGCGCTTTTACGCGTCAACCTTCCTAACCAGTTCGGCTGACGATTAGATTTCAAACGTTTGTCACCACGAATTTTGATCTTTCCGTTCAAGTTCTTCTTGTCGTTCGAGCAGAGCAGAGATCAGGATCGAATGATTAGATTATTTTTGTGTATAGATGTGAAGTTTGGTTGATTATAGTAAGTTGATTATAATATAGATACTTGTTTTGTAAGATTTGAAATAAATTTTATTTATTATATAAATTATAGATAAATTTGTTATTTATGAATATATCCAGAAATTAAATTTGATTGATAATAAAAAGTAAAAGAGGATAAAAAAATAGATATTTTTAGGAGTTGAAGATGTATACTATTTATTAGATATACTAGCTTTATTAACTTTTCATTCAAAATATTTCTATATATCTATATATTATATTTTTTATTTTAAAAATTATTCAAAATTATATTAACATCCATAATCTAATCAAACAATAAAGTACAAATAGTAAATTGTAATATAACAATTAATATTCAAAGAAATAAAATCATAATTAATAATCTTCATATAATAAATAATCTTCATCTAAAAATTTATTTAAAATAAAACATTTATAACGTAATCATCATCAAATAATAATATAATAATAAGTAATAATCTCCAAATGATTTCGTTTCAAAGAAAAGATAACAATATCTATGAGACATTCTTGTCAAAATCACAATGAATCTCATTGACGACCGTGTAACAGTTTCTTGATTGAAAGCTCATCACGATGAACGATTGAAAATAACGCTTAAATATCAGGGAGATGGGCACGAACGATATCTGGTGGCGCAAAGGTGACGTCAGGTGACAAACGTGTGTCAGGTGCCATGTGATAGATGAATATCGCGACTGGCAGCGTGGACCAAACCAGTTAGCAGATAGTGACGAGTTGCCCGGATTTATGGTGGTTTAACCAAACGAGAGGCGCCGTGTGTTGTTAGTTTATCGATGCTACCATACTGCTATGGTTAACTGTACGTGTATCAGGATCGTTCCGCCATCCTTGAATAACAGGGTTGCACATACATTTTGCATGTCCTTTTCTGTTATGAAAATACACACGGATCCGAAAGTGGATCTTCAATAATCTGCAAATGAGCTCTTTCGCGATGGAAATTCTTTGTTTATTTCTTTGGGCGTTAATTTTCCATTAAATTAAATTTTCGTTGATAAAATAAAAAATCGAGGTTTTTTTTTTGATGAATTGAAAATATTTGAAATATAAGTTAAATTATTTAGTCTCTCGTTTGGATTTGGATTTGTGTGAATTTAATTTTTAAATTCAGAGAGAAATATTTTTAATAATATTTTTAATAATATTAAGTTTTTGATTTATATTAACAGTTGGACCAAGGATTGAATCGTTTTTAACCCTTGTCAAATTCAAACAGTTATGAAATAAAATGTGGAAGATATCATATTTATTATTTATTTGCAAATATGTAAATTATAATTGATCTCACATGGATAGTAGATTGTTCAATAAACAAAAATATGAAATTTCAATGGATCATAGATAAGATAATTCAAAATTTGTTAATATGCTTATAAAGCTATTACATCAAATTATTTGGTTGATTAGAAATTTTTAATAAATTAAATTAAATTTAAGTATTTAAAAAAGAAATTTAAAAATCCAGTATTTTAAAATTCAGAAAAGTCATGATAATTAAGGAATGAGTTTAAAAAAATAATTTTCTTAAAGATTAAAGCTTAACGCTAATTATTCACGCTCAAGCATTATTGCATTTGCGCGGTGTAATTCAATCGGCGCGTTTCCGCTCGAGATGTTTCCATTGCGCCATGGCGCGAATTTCCTCGGTATTTGAGCGGTTTCATCCTGCAACACGCAATCAATCTCGTTGCAAGGAACCGTATAAGCTCAAAATCGAAACAGGAATTCCAGACTTGTGGCCTGATTATTATATGCAACGTGTCGAGTTTGACCATGAAATCGAAATTTCGATTCTAGGACATAGTTTTTGTAATTTATAATTAATTCTCGACGATATGACTTTATTTGGACACTACATAGAATTTCAGAAATATTTTTTGATATTTGAGGATTTCTTTTTTTCAAAAGAATTTGTATTTACTCGATTTTGTGACAAATAATTTTTTAATAATCCATAGGCGAAAGCAAATTTCTTTTCGCGATCAAAAATATAGATAAAAGAACGGAATTATTGTGATTTTCCAATAGCATATAGAATTCATGCAAGTCTAGAACTATATTTAAATATTTTATTGGTTAATTAATATAATTATGACGATAAAGTGAACTCCTTTTGATTAATTAAGATAATTAAACTCGAACAAGATCGAATTTAAACAAAGATCCAATTTATTTCAAGCAAAGGACTTAAGATTATTTTTAAATCAAATTAGAATTTTCAATATATCATTACTAATTATAAATAATATTTTTCCAAAAATAAACAAATGTACACAAAAATTTTAAACTTAAAACGCAATTAAAATCTATTAAAATTAGGAAAACTTTAAATCGGTGTAACTCCAAGGATAATGATTTTTAATCAATGAATCAAAGATCATTAGAAGCATGAAACCTTGCTCTTTAAAATGCTTTTTCATTTATCCCGATACGACTTCCGGTTCCCGAGATATCGTCGTGTAAAGAAAAGATAATTTTTAATCATTTATCGAAGTCCTATTAAATCCTATTAAAATTCGGAAAAATTTAAATCGCTATAACTCCGAAGATAATGATTTTTTAGCAATGAGTGAGCAATCAATAAAAGCGCGGAACCTTGCCCTTTAAAATGCTTTTTCATTTATCCCGATACGACTTCCGGTTCCCGAGATATCGTCGTGTAAAGAAAAGATAATTTTTAATCATTTATCGAAGTCCTATTAAATCCTATTAAAATTCGGAAAAATTTAAATCGCTATAACTCCGAAGATAATGATTTTTTATCAATGAGTGAGCAATCAATAAAAGCGCGGAACCTTGCCCTTTAAAATGCTTTTTCATTTATCCCGATATGACTTCCGGTTCCGGAGATATCATCGTGTAAAGCGAAGGATAATTTTTAATCGTTTACTATCTCCGTCCTTGTCTCATTCGGATGCTCGTTCGCGTCTCGCCTCACCGACCTATCCCAAACTCCAGACAAGCGGCAGACGCAATTCTTGAAAGAACGTAGTACGTATTTCTAGGAAAAAATATAGGTCACGGGCCATTCATAATCTCCGCACTGTCTAAAACTTTGAATCCTTATATCTCGGCAACCGATTGAGATATCGGAATAAAACAAAAAGGGATTTCATTGGCATGACTTTCTCTATTTTCTGGATAATTTTTAATGATAAAATTATTTTTTTTTTTTAGTTTTTTGCGTGAAAAGTTAAATTAAAAAATATTTATAATGACATAATATGGTATTTTATTCTGAAATACGATATTTAATAAAATTTAAATATTCTGAATAATGTTTTGAAATTTATTATGATCTTTGTTGTTATAGAATTTATCATTTGAGATAAATTTATGATAGACAACTTTAAAATTATTTTTATATATTGTAATGCAAGTTTGGCATTTATTTTATATAATATTATATATTTCATATAATTGAATATTTGTAGAAGTTTTAATTGTAACTTATTTATGATACAATATAAATTTAATAAATTATAAAAAATATTTAAATGGAATATTAAGAAATACTAAGAAAAAAATATTCATAAAATTATATTTATCGTTTTTCTAATAGCACAATTTTCTTTTATTTTCAGACATTAGTTGCTGGACAAGGTTTAAATGACGACATGTGGCACACACTAAGGTTCTCCAGAAGAGCAAGCTCTTTGAAATTCCAAATCGATGACGAAGCTGCTGTACGGGGTAAGTCAAAAATATTATATAAATTCCTATTTATTGAATGAACGAATTATTTAACAATAAATCATAGAAAAGTTTAATAGAAAAATACTCCAATTATATTCCATTATCAAAATATATTTATTTATTAATCAAAAATAATTTCTATATATTTTACAAAAAAGAGTTTCATATCTTTCATATAAAAGAACTCGTAAAGAACCTAAGGAACGCAAAAAGAACTGATTTTTATATGCAAATAGATCAAGTCTTTCATAAAACCTATTTGATATTTAAATAAGGTAATTTTAAAGGGTAAAATGTTTTTTGAATAAAATATTTTCTAATTTATCTTTAAAACAATAATAAATATTGTTTGAAAACACTTTTAAAGCGAAAGTTTAAATAAAATTATATTACATGTAATCAAATATATCCATTACAAAAAGTTAAAATTAATTTTGCTAAAACTATTTATATATTTTAGATTATTTTAAAAAATTTTATCATTTTATCATTTTTACTATCATTTCAGCTATAGCTTTAAATATCAAAATAATTAACGATCTTTTCACATAAAATTCAAATGCCTCGTGTGTCTGCAAATAAATCAGAAAATTGTTTCATCCAAAAAAATAGATAAAAAATTGAAAGTTATAGGACAGATTCAATCATCTTTTAAATTGTCGAATTTGTTTCTGTCCCGCTATTACAACGAGACTGACAAGAGCACCGTGAATTCGTATCAGCTCTCCCTTGTTCATCGTGGCATTATATGATTCCCTTTTTGGGTTTCGTGTGAAGTATTTAGTCACACATCGGTGATCTCGTTCGCGCTTTTCGAGGAACGAATACAAAAAGGGGCTCGTTCGTATTTGAATTCGAATTCGCTCGTCTGCAACGAGCCAGCTCGAATAGGGAAAATATTTCTATCCGGATCGATTCTACCGGTTTTTCGTATGCACACATTTATCGATACATAGTAAATCGAATATTTGAAAAAACTAAATTGGATATTCGATTTTAAAATTGTCGATGATGCGATTAATTATAGACATTCTATTTGTATTTGAGTGTTAAGAATTAGAATAGAAACGAAAATTTTTCAAATCAAGATAAATATATCCATTTTCTTACGAATAGATTATATATATAGATTTGATTATATACATAGATTATGATTCATAATTAATATAATTATATAATTATATTAATTATAATTCGATTGAAAAAAAGGAATGTATAAAATTTTCTTCCAAAATTAAATTAATAATTAATAATTAATATTTCATCTTTATTTATAATCTTTAATAAATCTTTTAATTTAATTATTATTTTTATCTTTTAATTATTATTTCAAATTAATTTAATAAAATATAATTTTAAAATGTTTTATCGAGAAATAAAATATCAATTTCTTTTTTATATTGAATATTGATAAGAAACAAGAAGAAAATAATTCTATCTTGAATAAAAAATACATAATGATATTTTGAAAAATAAATAATAAATGAAAAATATTATAAATCGTATTATTCCTCTATCAGAATATAAAGAAAAGAGGGAAAAACGGGGGAAAAAAAAAAAATGGAGCACGTCATTCTTTTTTACAAATTGTCAGCCTCGACAACACCATTTGGATCAACTATTTTACAGCTGCATCAGACGTGTGTACCTATATAATTGCAAGCGAGATATTTTTGAAAGTTGTTCGAACACAAGATGCCATCGGCGCATTACAGCTGGA